ACATTCAGTACCCCCAACTGGCTAAACTGGCTAAGTAGCAGTGGCTCCACAAGATACAGAAGGCTGTGTGATTCTTTTTTCAATAATTGTCCATTTAAAAAAGGTCAATTTAATCAGTGGGGTTAATTCTACTCTAGTTGGAACTATCAGATGGAACTTGACAGATTAGAGAGATGATTGGCCAAAACTAACAAAATGAAGTTCAACAGGGACAAATGCAAGATACTCCACTTTGGCAGGAAAAACGAAATGCAAAGGTATAGAATGGGGGACAATGCCTGGCTCGAGAACAGTACATGTGAAAAAGATCTTGGAGTCCTCATGGACAACAAGTAAAACATGAGCCAACAATGTGATGTGGCGGCAAAAAAAGCCAATGGGATTTTGGCCTGCATCAACATGAGCATAGTGTCTAGATCTAGGGAAGTAATGCTACCCCTCTATTCTGCCTTGGTTAGACCACACCTGGAATACTGTGTCCAATTCTGGGCACCACAATTGAAGAGAGAAATTGACAAGCTGGAATGTGTCCAGAGGAGGGCGACTAAAATGATCAAGGGTCTGGAGAACAAGCCCTATGAGGAGTGGCTTAAAGAGCTGGGCATGTTTAGCCTGAAGAAGAGAAGGCTGAGAGGAGATATGATAGCCATGTGTAAATATGTGAGAGGAAGTCACAGAGAGGAGGGAACAAGCTTGTTTTCTGATGCCCTGGAGACTAGGACACGGAACAATGGCTTCAAACTACAAGAAAGGAGATTCCATCTGAACATGAGGAAGAACTTCCTGACTGTGAGAGCCGTTCAGTAGTGGAACTCTCTGCCCCGGAGCAGGCATGTAGCTGGGGGGGGGGGGCTTTGGGGGCTTTAGCCCCCTCCGAAATTCTCAGGGTGGTCTGCGAAAAGGCCTTACTGGTACATTGTTTAAACTGTTATGTTTATTCATATCATGATCTGATCACTATGCTCAATATATCTAATATATATGGGGGTATTGGGGTAATGATACAAAAGGTTTGCTAGGCTAGACCCTCTTTCACTCAGACTCAGGCCCCCCCCCCTCCCGAATCAAACTCAGCCCCCCCCCCCACCCCGAATCAAAATCCTGGCTATGGCCCTGTCCACATTTTCTAATGTTACACCATTAAGCTGTATTACTGGCATTGGAGAGGGATTGGCTGGTGACTGCTGGAACAGCACCTTGGTTTTCTCAATGTTCAGTGACAGGCCGAGCTTCTCATATGCTTCTGCGAAGGTGTTTAGAGTGGCTTGTAGATCTTCTTCTGAATGCGCACAGACGACATTGTCATCAGCATACTGGAGTTCTATAACAGCTGTTGTTGTAACCTTGGTTTTGGCTTTCAGTCTGCTGAGGTTGAATAGCTTGCCATCTGTCCGATAGATTATTTCCACTCCGGTGGGAAGCTTCCCATCAACAAGGTGAAGTATCATAGCGATGAAGATGGAGAATAGAGTTGGGGCAATAACACATCCCTGTTTGACACCGGATTCCACTTTAAATGGGTCACTTTGGGAGCCATTGCTGTCCAAGACTGTTGCTATCATGTCATCATGGAGGAGCCGCAGGATGTTCACAAATTTGTTAGGGCACCCGATTTTGGAGGATGGTCCAGAGAGTGCTGCGATTCACTGTGTCGAATGCCTTTGCAAGGTCGATGAATGCCATGTACAGAGGTTGATTTTGTTCTCTGCATTTTTCTTGGAGCTGTCGTGCAGTGAAGATCATGTCAACCCCTCTCCAATGCTAGTAATACAGCTTAATGGTGTAACATTAGAAAATGTGGACCATTTCCGCTACCTTGGCAGCCTCCTCTCCACCAAAGTCAACATCGACACCGAAATACAACACCGCCTGAGCTCTGCGTGCAGCATTTTTCCGAATGAAGCAGAGAGTGTTTGAGGACCGGGACATCCGTAGGGATACCAAGGTGCTTTGTCTATAAAGCTATTGTCCTCCCAACCCTGCTATATGCCTGTGAGACGTGGACTGTCTACAGACGTCACATGCACTCCTGGAACGATTCCATCAGCGCTGCCTCCGGAAAATCCTGCAAATCTCTTGGGAAGACAAGCGGACAAACGTCAGCGTGCTGGAAGAAGCAAAGACCACTAGCATTGAAGCAATGGTCCTCCACCACCAACTCCGCTGGGCCGGCCACGTTGTCCGGATGCCTGACCACCGTCTCCCAAAGCAGTTGCTCTACTTCGAACTTAAGAATGGAAAACGGAACGTTGGTGGGCAGGAAAAGAGATTTAAAGATGGGCTCAAAGCCAACCTTAAAAACTCTGGCATAGACACTGAGAACTGGGAAGCCCTGGCCCTTGAGCGCTCCAGCTGGAGGACAGCTATCACCAGCAGTGCTGCAGACTTTGAGGAGGCACGAGTGGAGGGTGAAAGAGAGAAACGTGCCAGGAGGAAGGCGCGTCAAGCCAACCCCGACCGGGACCGCCTTCCACCTGGAAACCAATGCCCTCACTGTGGAAGAAGATGCAGAGCAAGAATAGGGCTCCACAGCCACATACGGACCCACAAATAAATCCATAATGGAAGACCATCTTACTCGTACAACGAGGGATCGCCTAAGTAAACAGAGGCTGGATGGCCATCTGTCAGGGGTGTTTTGAATGCAATATTCCTGCTTCTTGGCAGGGGGTTGGACTGGATGGCCCAACTCTTCCAACTCTTTGATTCTATGATCATGATTTTATACGGCAGTGTAGAAGGGGCCTCTGTCTTTGTGCCGTCTCTTTCAGCCCTCTCCATATTTTTACATTCCCACATCACTCACTGGCATGCTGCTGAGCAATTCTGACTATGTAAATGTTTCCTTTGTATTTTTTTTTCCATGGAGGAAATGCAGAATAGTTCCCATTTTCACAAGAGCTGGTAGATGGGAGCGTGAGAGATCAACAGGTCCTGTTATCCCAACCCTCTGCATACTCAGAAATAAATACAAATGCTTTTCTTAACGGATTGCTCATTTGGACACAAGATACCTAACAACCCAATGTATGTCCTTCACTCAAAAAGAATTGATTTTGTCATTTGGGAGTTGTAGTTGTTGGGGTTTATAGTTCACCTATAATCAAATAGCATTCTGAACTCAACCAATGATGGAATTGAACCAAACGTGTCATACAGGACTCCCATGACCAACAGAAAACACTAGAAGGGTTTGGTGGGCATTGACCTTGAGTTTGGGAGTTGTAGTTCACCTACATCCATAGAGCACTGTGATGGATCTGGACCAAACAAGGAGGGATCTGGACCAAACTTGGCAAGAATATTCCATATGCTCAAATATGAACACAGATGGAGTTTGGGGGTAATAGACCTTGATATTTGGGAGTTGTAGTTACCGGGATTTATAGTTCACCTACACTCAAAGAGCATTCTGAATCCCACAAACGACAGAATTGGGGCAAACTTCCCACACAGAACCCCCATGACCAACAGAAAATACTTAAGGCCATCCAGTTCAACTCCCTTCACCAGGGCAAGAAAATGTAATCAGAGCCCTCATGACAAAGAGCCACCCAGTCATAAATATAGATAGATAGATATGATTCACACACACACACACCTAGTATTATAGATTTGAAGGACCCCTACAGAAAGACAATTATATGTTACACATTCCAGAGTAGGCAAACCAGAAAATCTCTACATCAACACTGACAAAACAACAACAACAAGAAATATTGTTTACCCACAAGCATAAAGAAATTACATATTTTAGTAAACAACACTTTCTCATTACTTTATTTTCCAGATCACCAGACTGGGCCACAGCAACGCATGGCAGGGAATGGCTAGTACTTCATAAAAAGGAAAACCAGCCTGTTTAGCAAGCCTTGCAAATGCTGGTATCTTATCAGTCAATCTTTCATTTTTAAATCTAGTTATTGTTCCTAGTGGCACAGTGGGTTAAAGTGCTGAGTTGCTGAGTTTGTTGATCGGAAGGTTGCAGGTTCGAATCCAGGGAGCAGTGTGAGCTTCCGCTGTCAGCCCTAGCTTCTGCCAACCTAGCAGTTCGAAAACAAGCAAATGTAAATAGATCAATAGGTACCGCTCCAGCGGGAAAGTAACGGCGCTCCATGCAGTCATGCCAGCCACATGACCGTGGAGGTGTCTACGAACAACGCCAGCTCTTCGGCTTAGAAATGGAGATCAGTACCACCCCCCAGAGATGGACACGACTGGACTTATGTCAGGGGACAACCTTTACCTCTTACCTATTGTTCCTGGGTTATACAAGTTGATTCTATTGTAAAAACACAGAAAAAGGTGATCAAACTGGCAAAACCATGTTTTTGCAGCACATATTGCTATAAACCTCACTTTCCTAGTTTCCAACAAATCGCACAACCTCTGAAGATGCCTGAAATAGATGTGGGCAAAAGGTCAGGAGAGAATGCTTCTGGAACATGGCCATACAATCTGGAAAACTCACGGCAACCCAGTGATTCCAGCCATGAAAGCTTTTGACAACACAAATTCAACTTCAGTTTGTGGCAGCCACAAAAACGTTTCTGAAGTAGAAGTTCTACTTTCAAAGTAAGGGCTGCACCATTAAACAGGAAATAACACTTTCAAACGAAGGACAGAATTTCCCCCTCAATTAACATAGTGTTAATTGAGGGGGAGATTGAATCAAGATGATTTGCATAAGTGCAAGATTGTTTACATCTAAGTGCATCACTGGAAGCAGTAAGGATTAGGGCTGGGGGATTCTTTTTGGTGGCATTGGGGGCCTAGCTCTACATAAAGTGTGGGAGGGAAGAGATAAATCTCTCAGTTGCCACTCATAATCTGATCTGGTCCAGATCCTGTCCTTCTGATCCCAGTGGAGAAAGTCCCTTTGGCTGCCCAGGAGGAGAAAGGGTTAAAGGGGAGCTGGTGCGTTTTGGCCTCTTATCAGTCCTGGGGGGGAGGCAGGTTAAAGAGTGACTTGAACCGCGGTCTCTGAGCAGGAGGAAATGTCACATGGAGGGCGGGGGAGGAGTTGGGGGAGAGAAGTAACTATGGGTCATCATCGGGGCATTTCTTCCTCCTCCGTTACACTCAACTTTTCTGCTCGGGGATACACACTGGGCACCCCCTCCCCTCCCCAAAGCGCTCTTTCGTTTCCCCTTTTTGATGCCTGATAAAATGTTCTCCCTTCCTGCAGAGGGGCATCAGATGCCCGGCTCTGGCAGAGGATCCCTCAGCTAACCTTCTGGGACACCTGAAAGGCACGGGGGACTGGCTCCAGGCAACCATCGCAGGGGACTCTCAACCAACTGTAAGTCCCTCCTTGCACCCAGGCAGCCGCTTCTCCTCTTCCTCGTCATGGGGCCCTTCCTTCCTTCCTTCCTTCCTTCCTTCCTTCCTTCCTTCCTTCCTTCCTTCCTTCCTTCCTTCCTTCCTTCCTTCCCTCCCTCCCTCTCCTTCTTTCTTTTTCCTTCCCTTCTTTCTTTTCCTTCCTTTCTTTCCTCTCCTTCCTTTCCTCCTTCCTCTCCTTCCTTCCTCCTCCTTCCTTCCCTCCCTACTCCCTTCCTCCCTCCTTCCTTCCCTCCTTTTCCTTCCTTCCCTCCCACACTTCCTTCCCTCCTTCCTTCCTTTGGCCTTGCTGTGCCTCGGATTTTTCATGCCATTAAGGAGAGGATTTTTCAGGACTCCTTCGTTTCCTTCCTCCCTTTGGCGTTTTGGGGTCTGTCTCTTTGTCTCTTGCCCCTCCCTTCCTTTCCCTCCCTCTCCTTCTTCTTTCCTCCTTTCCTCCTCCCTCCCTCCCTGCCTTCTTTTTTCTCCCTCCCCTTCCTTCCTTCCTTCTCTTTCCTTCCCTCTCCTTCCCTCTTTCTTTCTTTCTTTCCTTCCCTCCTTTCCTTCCCTCCCTTCTCTCTTCCTCCTCCTTCCTTCCCACCTTTCCTTTTCCTTTCCTCTCCTCCCTCCTTCTTCTTCTTCCTCCCTTCCTTCCTTCTTTCCTTCTCCTCCCTCTTCCTTCCTTCCTCTTTCTTCCTCCTTCCTTTCTTTCTTTCCTTCTTCCTTTCTTCCTCCCCTCCTTCTTCCCTTCCTTCCTTCCCCTTCCTTCCCCTTCTTTCTTTCCTTCCTTCCTTCCCTCCCTTCTTCCTTCCTTCCCTTCCTTCCTCCTCCCGCCCTCTTTCCCTCCCTCCCTTCCTTCCTTGCTTGCTTACTTACTTCTTTCCTTCCCTCCCTCCTTCTTTCCTTCCTTCCTTCCCCTCCTTCTTCCTCCCTTCTCCTTCCTTCCCTCCTCTTTCCCTCCCTCCTTCCCTCCCTCCTTCTTTCTTTCCTTCCTTTCTTGCTTCCCTCCCTCCCTCCCTTCTTTCCTTCTCTCCCTCCCTACTTCCTTCCTTCCCTCTTTCCTTCCCTCCTTCCCTCTTTCTTTCTTTCCTTCCTCCCTTCCTTCCCTCCTTCTTTCCTTCCCTCCATTCCTTCCTTACCACCCTCCTTCCCTCCCTCCCTTGCTTGCTTACTTCTTTCCTTCCTTCCCTCCCTCCTTCTTTCCTTCCTCCTTCCTTCCTTCTTTCCCCCTCCCTCCTTCCTTCCTTCCTCTTCCTTCCTCCCTCCTTCTTTCTTCTTCCTTTTTCCCTCTCCTCCTTCCCTCCCTCCTTCCCTCTTTCTTTCTTTCCTTCCTTCCTTCCCTCCTTCTTTCCTTCCTTCCCTCCATTCCTTCCTTACCGCCCTCCTTCCCTCCCTCCCTTCCTTCCTTGCTTGCTTACTTACTTCTTTCCTTCCCTCCCTCCTTCTTTCCTTCCTTCCTCCTTCCTTCGTTCCTCCCTTCCTTCCTTCCCTCTTTCTTTCTTTCCCTCCCTCCTTCCCTCCCTCCTTCTTTCTTTCCTTCCTTTCTTGCTTCCCTCCCTCCCTCCCTTCTTTCCTTCTCTCCCTCCCTACTTCCTTCCTTCCCTCTTTCCTTCCCTCCTTCCCTCTTTCTTTCTTTCCTTCCTCCCTTCCTTCCCTCCTTCTTTCCTTCCCTCCATTCCTTCCTTACCACCCTCCTTCCCTCCCTCCCTTGCTTGCTTACTTCTTTCCTTCCTTCCCTCCCTCCTTCTTTCCTTCCTCCTTCCTTCCTTCTTTCCTTCTCTCCCTCCCTACTTCCTTCCTTCCCTCTTTCCTTCCCTCCTCTCCTTCTTTTCTTCCTTCCTTTCTTCCCTCCCTCCTTCTTTCCTTCCTTCCTTCCCTCCCTCCTTCCCTCTTTCTTTCTTTCCTTCCTTCCTTCCCTCCTTCTTTCCTTCCTTCCCTCCATTCCTTCCTTACCGCCCTCCTTCCCTCCCTCCCTTCCTTCCTTGCTTGCTTACTTACTTCTTTCCTTCCCTCCCTCCCTCCTTCTTTCCTTCCTCCTTCCTTCCTTCCTTCCTTCCTTCCCCAACCCTCCTCTCCTCTTTTCCAGAGCTCACTCACTCACCTGCTAATATTCTTCCCCTCCTTTTTTTCTGGACAAAAATCCAACAGGTAATGTTGGAAACATTTCCCAGAATTCATCTTTTGGATGACAACTCTTAGGCCCCTTCCACACAGCTGAATAAAATGCCACAATATCTGCTTTGAACTGGACTCTATGGCAGTGTGGACTCAGATAACCCAGATCAAAGCAGATATTGTGGGTTTTTCTGCCTTGATATTCTGGGTTATATAGCTGTGTGGAAGGGCCCTCAGATCCCTTCTTAGGTCCGGATGATCAAAGCAGATCATCCACATGATCTTAAATGGATGATCTGTGTCTACACTGCCATATAATCCAGTTCAAAGTAGATAATCTGGATTTTATATGGCAGTGTAGACTCAGATCAATTCAAAGCAGACAATGTGGATTATCTGATTTGATAATCTGGATTATATAGCAGTGTAGTAGGGACCTAAGGCTGCATCTCCACTATCTGCTTCGAATTGGATTATATGAGTCTACAGTACCATATAATCCAGGATTTTATATGGCACTTTAGGCCCCTTCTACACTGCCATGTAAAATCCAGATTATCTGCTTTGAACTGGATTATATGGCAGTGTAGACTCATATAATCTGGTTCAGATAATGTGGTGATCTGTTTTGACAATCTGGATTATATGGTAGTGTAGAAGGGGCTGTAGATCCAGCCCTAGGGTGCCTTTAATTCTATAAATTTTTGACACCACTTTAACTTCCATGGCTCAATGTTCTCTAGAATCTGTAGTATTTACGCTGTCTTTAACCTTCCTCTTCCAAGGAGATGCACCCTAAATCCTTCAGGGTTTTATACTTGGGAAATTATTATTATTATTTTACTTACACAAAAGCGCAGTATGTCACAGCAAACGAGAGATATATGCTGGATTTTGTATCACAAAATCACAAGTCGAACAATTCCCAAGCGTCTAGGACTGTGTGATGTATTTTTGAGTGATGCACACAGATCCAAGTAAGGTAGCCTTTATTATTTATTTATTTATGTATTTATGTATTTATTTATTATTAATACCCTGCTTTTCTCCTTGTGGGGACTCAAGGTCGCTAATAATTGTACACCTGGTCAAGTTTAAAAAGTGCAATACAAAAGTTAAAGAAATCCTGGAAGTTGTGGTCCAGAAATAACTCGTCCAGGTTCTGCAAGCAGATTTCTAGTATGTTGGGGGGTGGAGGCCTGGCATTTGTAAAAAAAAAACTAATCATTTTTTAAAACACATGAATGTCTACAGATAGTATGAAAGCAAGTAATATAACATAGTTCTATGTATGGAAATGGTACCAGCCTCAATTCCTAGCACTCAGAAAGTCTGCAATCTAATTTATGGTTTGGTTTACCATAGTTGGAAGGGCCAACTATGGTAAACCAAACGTACCCCTACACTATAGGATTCTAAGAGCAAATAGCAAATGAAAAGCCAATAATGTTGAATGTTTGGAGTATGCTCTTCAAAGTGGTTTGGATTATTATGACCTGATTGTGTATATGTTTACACAATTGTGTATATGTATACGTCAGGGGTACTTTGATTGTACTTTTCCTGCATGGCAGGGGGTTGGACTAGATGGCCTAAGAGGTCTCTTTCAACTCTATTATACTTTGATTGTATGTGCCTTCAAGTTGCTTGTTTACTTATGGCAACCCCATGCATTTCATAGGGTTTTCTTAAGAAGGAACACTTCAAGATGGTTTTGTCACTGGGTTGTTGTAGGCTTTTTCGGGCTATATGGCCATGTTCTAGAGGCATTTTTCTGACGTTTCGCCTGCATCTATGGCAAGCATCCTTAGAGGTAATGAGGTCTGTTGGAACTAGGAAAAAGGGTTTATATATCTGTGGAATGGCCAGGGTGGGACAAAGAACTCTTGTCTGCTGGAGCTAGGTGTGAATGTTTCAACTGACCACCTTGATTAGCATTTGATTGCCTGGCAGTGCGTGGAGCAATCTTTTGTTGAGGGGTGATTAGATGTCCTTGTTTGTTTCCTCTCTGTTGTTGTGCTGTTCTAATTTTAGAGTTTTTAGATTTATGGTTTTGTCAGTTGCTTCCCTGAAATAGAGCCTCTAGCACCTTTATTCATTGATAATTGCCCATTCAACACTCACCAGTGCTGATCTATTTAGTTTCCAAGATCAGCAGGAACCTGGTGCCTTCAGGCTATTTATGCTGTTTAAGTATAATTGACTCACAAGCAACTGAGTAATCAAAATGTGGAAATTGCTGATCAACAAACTAGATTATGTGTGTAGTCATGTCTGGGGCTTCTGCTTCAACCATTTTTCTTATTAATGCATATTTTTACTCTGGTTGTGATTAAACATGATGAACCAGGAGCTTAGAAAAGCAGTAATCTTGCATGACCAAGAAAAACCATAAAACCATAAAAGCAAGAATGCGTAGCTCCAGGAATTAGGTCTCAATTGTGAGATGAGACAAGTATCGGGCTCTGCAGAATCTAAGCAACAGCAATATACTTTTACTGTTTAATCTTTTGAGGTTGATGTTCTATTATTACAGGCTTGGAGCAGAATCAGGTTCATGGTTGCTCACATGATTTTCCAATAGGGTTTGGGATTTAGCTTAAGATCTTGTCCTTTGATCCAACCGCTACCTATGTCCATGAAGGTTTCCAGTCAAACCAGTGGAAGCATAGGGAGTTTTGTGTGTATGTATGATAGTTGTGTGTCTCTAAAGTTGGCAGGATTTGTCATAAATGGAAACACTGTACATCAAGGGTCTGGAGAACAAGCCCTATGAGGAGCGGCTTAGGAAACTGGGCATGTTTAGCCTGAAGAAGAGAAGGCTGAGAGGAGATATGATAGCCATGTATAAATATGTGAGAGGAAGCC